TCCCAGGGAAGGAAGAGCCTTTGCAGCCGGAGAACGTCATTAAGCTTTCGTTGCTTCAGAGTTTTCTGCTGCGCCTTCACGCAGGCATTGCGGGGACCGAGGGTGGAGGGGCAGTAGGAGCTGCTGACGTGCTCGCCTTGCGCGTATTGAGGCGGACACATGGATTAGCAGTGCGGCGGCATGTCTTCCTTTCTGTAGAAACAAGCATCTTATAAAGAGGCTTTAAAAACTCCTTATTGCTTATTTTAGATCATTCCTTTTACCAGGGTTCGTCTCCACGCCGACTGTTTCTCGACTGACGTCGGATGAAGTGATCCAGATGCGTAATGAGCTCTTCACCAAAGAGAAAGAGAGACAGTTATCTCTGTATCCACGAATTGAGAAAATCGAAGTAAAATACACTGGGAAATCTCACCCTGGCAGCGTGTTTGTAATGAACAAAGCTTTGTCTACTCCGTACAATTGTGCCATGCGTAAGTGAATGGACCCTTAAACTAATGTTGTGCCGCCGGTGATGAAAATTGCGCTGCCAATTGAAGGACTTGTCATCCAAACTCGAAATGTTAATATTATTGACATTTTAGTGACCAAGGTAACAGACATGCATTCAGAATATTTGTCGTTGGTATGTTTAAAATGCATTTGTACTAAAATACATCAGCAGAAACTGAGTTAATTTTTGGAGGCCCTATTAACTGCTCATCCTTCCAAGTCATTTACAAAAGTGAAACTTGCAGTTTGTCGTTACAAATGCAGGGGTCTAAACTGCTGACTCTGAGGAGTGTGGTTAATAACTGTGTAATACTTTTTTCATTTTCTTTAGACTTAAGTGAATGGCATTGCAGGAAATCCGTTCTAGCTCTTGTGGATGGTGAAGTCTGGGATATGTATAGACCCTTGACCAAATCATGTGAAATTCAGTTCCTTACTTTCAAAGATGAAGATCCAGAGGAAGTAAACAAGGTAAATCTGTATCTTATCCCATTGTAGGTGAGCTCGATTCTGTATGCCCTTTTCAGTTCCACGTCTGTCTGCTTTCTTGAACTTTGTTGTTGTGAAAGTTCAGATATTTTTAATAGTTGGTTGGCACATCATGGTTATCGGTAGTTGGACCAGGTTGTGGGCTAGGTGATGTGCGGGCATCCCTTTCAACCTATATTGTTGTTGTATTCTATGATTTCAGATTTCAATCTTCCCAGGGAAACATCTGGCTTGCATTTTAAGTGCAGTTTTGATTTTTTTGATTTTTTTTTTATTTATGGAGAAGCATCTCCAAATAGAAGTTTAAATACTAAAGAAAGTAACGCTTGGGTTGACAGCTAGGTTTGTGCCTCATTCAATTAAATGTTGGTGTTCTTTTGGAATAAATAGCTGATGTTCATCTGGTATGGGTTGTTAGCTTCTAGGTAATAAATCTGTGTTTTGAAATTCTCTTTATAGGCCTATTGGCGTTCCTGTGCCATGATCATGGCAAGTGTGTTAAAGCGGGCGTTCAAAGACGAGTACTCGGTGAATCTGATTAAAGCTCCAGAAGTGCCAGGTGATAAAAGTGTTTTATACTGATTGTCTTGTCTTTTGCTGCTTCTTAAGTGACTGCCTAATAATGTTACCAAAAAAATCAGCGGCTCCTTTTCCAGTGATTGAAGGTACTTAGCATTGATTTCTGTATTATATGCTGTTGTGGCAGCCTTTAATTTATAGCAATCACACTGAAAACAATTTTGTTATCAAAGTACAGAAAATTGGTCTGTGGCAACTGTGTTTCAGACCACTTAGGATTTCATAGGTTAAGTTAGTAACTTGAGGACATAACCTTTTTATTGTGAAGTTACATGAGTAAGGTATTTAGACGATTTGATGTGTTTCTGTGAACTTTGCCCTAATAACTGCATAACCTTGTGAGCACTTGAGTTACTAAAAATTATGGTTGGAAGATTATTCTTTTGCTCATCTATGACCTGATACAGGTTTAATCTGCCATTTGACTGTATAATCACAGCTGAAAATTTATATTTTACGATGGATTTCTTGAGATCGTTTTGTTTTTCTTCTCATTCATTTTGATATATTTATAAGGGTGTATTATGGCAATGAAATACGTACTTTGTAATAAACATGAATATTTTTCTCTTTGGAATTGGAATTGCAGTGATCTCCGGAGCCTTTTGTTATGATGTAATTTTGGACGATAGACTGAATGACTGGAAACCAACAAACGTAAGCACAATAACTTCTTCCTCAAAAAGTTATAAAGCTCGCATCCTTGTCCGGTGGTTCTTTTCTAATGGGGGAGGGGGACAGCGAGTATTTTTTCTTTTCATAGGGTATATCTACACTAGTATTTTATTTTGGGTCAGGAGTACTCTTTGGAAACTAATCTCCGCATTTACCACATACTGGCTTTCATGGCAGAGTGGTCTCAGAGCACACAAACTGGGTTCCTCTCAGATGAAATTAAACCTAGAGCTGTCCTCCAAATTCTTACAGGTTTTAAGTGTATGGGGCTGGAGTAGCTCTAGTCTGAAATACAATTCCCAAAATAGTTGGGGTGGCTGTTGGGACCTCAGTGCCATCTTTGTTACTATACAGATCTGCTCCTACTGAGCCATTCTTGCCTGGTAATGTAGGTGCAACCATGGCCCTATAGCCTTTGTGTGAATAGAGCCCTCTGAAAATAAAAATCTGTGTAATAGGTGTTTTTCCACCTAGTGGTTTACAGCATAATCAGTTTATTGTTGTAAAAGAACCGTGAGCACATTCGGCTGAAGCTTAATAGCTTGCTTATATTGCATGCTCTTCGGTAAATTTAATCATCTAAAACCTTTAAGTCTCGTATCTGTTTGGTAGCTGGTGTGATCACGGGTGTTTTACTCGTCTGGTGCCTATTCTTGTTCTCATGCCCAAGTATTAGCAGAGGTGTGTATGGCTAACAAAGCAATGCTGGTATAATGCAAATTCTTTCTTCAATATGGTCTCGTAGTTGAAGTAACTTAGTTTGAAATGTTTTCTAAGTGGCATTGTAAATGTAATTTCTTCTAATAACAATTTCTTATTTATTGACAAATCTGAGTATGCAGAGCTTTGGATTCTCGATCAAGGTGATCAATATCTATTTATTAGTTATTCAGTACTTTTTTCTTTTGATTCCATCAGAATAGAGGTCATTTATAAGTGGAATCACGACTCTGGGAAACAGGATACACAGATGAATATTTAACAATAGCAAGACTGTATGTGTATATATCGTGTTGGTGTCCTGGTTTCAGCAGGGATAGAGTTAATTTCCTTCCTAGTAGCTGGTACAGTGCTGTGGTTTGGATTTAGTACCAGAATAATGTTGATAACACACCGATGTTTTAGTTGTTGCTAGGTAGTGCTTACACTAGTCAAGGACTTTTCAGCTTCCCATGTTCTGACAGCGAGAAGCTGGGAGGGGGCACAGCCAGGACAGCTGACCCAAACTGGCCACAGGGACATTCCATACCATATGGCATCATGCTCGGTATATAAACTGGGGGGAGTTGTCTGGGGGGCGATGACCGCTGCTCTGGAACTGGCTGGGCATCGGTCAGCGGGTGGTGAGCAATTGCATTGTGCATCACTTACTTTCTATATTATATTATTATTATTTTCCCTTCCTTTTCTGTCCTATTCAACTGTCTTTATCTCAATGCAGAATTTTTTTTTTTCCCCCGATTCTCTCCCCCATCCCACTGGGGGGGGGCGAGGAGAGTGAGCGAATGGCTGTGTGGTGTTCAGCTGCCTGCTGGGTTGAACCACAACAGTTGGGAAAACCTGAGAAGTTTAACTCCAATTAATATGTATGGTTTCTGATGGAAAAATGCCTATTGATTTCACTGGGCGTTGAATCAGTCCATTCAAACAGCGATGATCTGTAGCAATCTGTTGCAGATAAATAGTAAGAGTTATAATCCTACAGCAATATTCTTATATTTAGGATCTATAGTAGATGATCCTTATTGTTTTGACTAATACTTAGTGTTTCCTATGCTTTGTCTATTCAGTACAGCTGTGAAACAGTGGTGACAGTTTTATACGTATCAACTGTTTTTTAGGACAACTTCCGTTCTCTTACAAGGGATGCCAGAAAGCTAATTCATAAAGACCTGCCATTTGAAATGCTGCATGTTGAAGCAAAAGTAGCACGTGAAATGTTTCAACATAACGGGTAAGTGTCTGAATTTGATTAGAAATTAATTTGTTTTTGTAAATCTAAAATAAGATGTGACAGGTGAGGTAAGAAGGTACTTCCCCAACTACTCTGGATGAACATGCCTCTGTTCTCTTTGTCGCACTACCTTACTTCATTTTTAATGTTCTCTGCAGAGGCCAACACCAGGCACCTTTGGTGGATGTAGTTTTGTGACAAATGGAAAGGCTGTAGACTTCTTAGTTTAATAGAAAGCTTCAAGATTTCACTACTTTTAAACTGAAGCTCTGGTGGTTAGACTTAGTTACTCTCAGCCTTTGCTGAAAGGCTTTCATATTCAAAGAAATGTAGATTTTTCATATCTTGGTATCTTCAGATGCAGATCTGATGAAATGCAGTTTTTGAGCTCTGCAGGGGGAAGATGGGTAAAATACTCTGGCCTGTGCTATGAAAGAAGGCTTGTTCAAAACATTCCCGTCTTCTCCACTGAAAAAACACTTAAGCAATGTTTTGGGAAAAAAATTCTCTGGTCCACAGCTTTTTGGCGGTTGGAGAGAGGTGGGGGGACATGATAAATAATTTATAATTTTGTGAACCAAAATAAAATTATGCTAAAGCTAAAGCTGCAAAAATAACTAGTTTTTTAGCTTAATAATGAAGATGATACTAATGTGTCATACGGACTAGCATCTCTTTGCTATGTTGGCTGGCAAGCATTGACAGCAGGTGGGAGCTGACTTCTGATAATGGCTTTAGACATTGTATGTGTATTTGTTTGTGTGTAGAAAGAGCAGAGAACACTTTGCTGTCTTGCAGATGACCAGCTGTTGAGGACCACACATTGCATAAAATCAGTTTAGGTGATCTGATAGTGTCTTCTAGTCTTACATGTGACTTGAAAAACTTATTTTTATTTGAAGTAGTAGGTTCATTTTATCTTTCTGAATAAAACTCTGCTGAGAGAGCATGGCCCTCCTGTAACATAAACATAGACTAGAATAGACTAGAATAGCCTATTTCAGTTGGAAGGGACCTACAATGATCATCTAGTCCAACTGCCTGACCAATTCAGGGCTGACCAAGTTAAAGCATGTTATTAAGGGCATTGTCCAAATGCCTCCTAAACACTGACAGGCTTGGGGCATCGACCACCTCTCCAGGAAGCCTGTTCCAGTGTTTGACTTCTTACCTCTCGGTAAAGAAATGCTTCCTAACGTCCAGTGTAAACCTCCCCTGGCGCAGCTTTGAACCATTCCCACGTGTCCTATCACTGGATCCCAGGGAGAAGAGATCGGCACCTCCCTCTCCACTTCCCCTCCGCAGGAAGCTGTAGAGAGCAATGAGGTTGCCCCTCAGCCTCCTTTTCTCCAAACTAGACAAGCCCAAAGTCCTTAGCTGCTCCTCATGGGACATTCCTTCCAGCCCTTTCACCAGTTTTGTTGCCCGCCTCTGGACGCATTCAAGCACGTTAACATCCTTCTTAAATTGTGGGGCCCAGAACTGCACACAGTACTCAAGGTGAGGCGGCACCAACGCTGAATACAGTGGGATAACCACCTCTTTTGACTGGGATGCAGTTTGCCCTCTTGGCTGCCAGGGCACGCTGCTGACTCATATTGAGCCTGCTGCCAGCCAGCACCCCCAGATCCATTTCTGCAGGGCTGCTCTCCAGCCACTCCTCTCCCAGTTTATACTCATGCCTGGTGTTCCTCTGTCCTAAGTGCAGAATCTGGCATTTCGACTTGTTAAATTTCATCCCATTAATCATAGCCCAACGCTCCAATCTGTCTACATCCCTCTGCAAGGCCTCTTGTCTGTCAAGGGAGTCAACAGCACTTCCCAGCTTGGTATTATCAGCAAACTTGCTAATGGTGCATTCAACTCCTGCATCCAGATTGTTGATAAATACATGGACAGAACTGGCCCTAGAACTGAACCCCGAGGAGCAGCGCTCGGTGAGCGGTCACCAGCTGGATGTAGCCCTGTTCACCGCAGCCCTTTGAGCCCTGCCCTTCAGCCAGTTCTTCACCCAGCGCACTGTGAACGCCCTCATCCCGCAGCTGGACAACTTGTCCAGAAGGATGCTGTGAGGGACAGTATCAAAAGCCTTACTAAAATCCGGAAAAACTACATCCACCGCCTTCCCTTCATCCACTAGGCAGGCGACCTTATCGTAGAAGGATATCGAATTAGTTAAATGGGACTTTCCCTTTGTGAACCCATGTTGACTGTGCCTGATGATTGCATTATTCCTTAAATGCCTTTCAATAGTACCCAGTATAATCTTCTCCATAATTTTTCCAGGAACTGATGTTAGACTAACGGGTCTGTATGACATGCTTCATGAAACATGCCAATACGTGTTGTGATACAAAATTAAGAATTTAAACATGTTTCAAAGCTCCCATAAATATGAGCATGATTTTTAAGAATGCTCCTTAAATCGATCTCTTAAGTATTCTTATAAGAACTAGGTGTTAAAGGTGAGGATTTTTAATTTTTTTTTTGTCTTGTTCAGATACAAAATGGAGATGATAGAACGAAAAGCTTCTCAGAATATGGAAGGAATTGTAACGTTACATAGGTGAGCAAAACTGAGCTCTCATTCTGTAATGATTCTCTGAAAGATTTGATTATATTGCAAGTGCTCTGCAAGTGAGAAGAGTAAGTTACTTGTGATGGTTTTCAACTTAGAAATCACTTGTATTCATTGCTGTCTGTAGTCTGTCTTAAGTTGTTGTTTGGGTGTTTGGTTCTTTTATACAAAAAAAATTTTTGTGATACTTAACACTTCATGGATCTCGCTACATTCCTATTTTTTGTTACGTTAAAGGTGGTAAGTGCCAGAGTCTTAACTGCTTTAAATGCTTTTACATAAAATCTAAATAAATCTCTAGAACTTGCCAGGTTAAATAAAATACAAACCAAATACTTGTTTGAAAACAAGAGTTAGCATTGTGTAGTGGATTTTTCTTCCAAAGTTGTCAAGATGTCCTAACTGGCAAGCTGCTGCCTTGTAGTGGTGGAGATGAGAATGGAGCTGGCTTCTGGGATACAGTGTAAGATACAAAGTTCTCAGGCTGGAGGCAGGAAGCTTGTATTGTATCTTGGGCATATAAAAGAATTTGTGACTAGCTTAGGCAGCCGTAGGATATTCAGTTTTCTGGATGTGTAAATTGTTCTGCGTTTGATTTTGGAGTCCGCATCTCTCTAAAGGAACAGATCTCTCTGCAGTGATGGTTCTTGAAATTTTAGAACAACGTTGTGTCTGTTGTTCCTCCTTCCTCCCGCTCTCTAGTTTGCGCAACAAGAGGGAAAACGGGCTTACCTATTGATTTCTGGGAGAGGTTTGTTCTGCATGCTCTTTTGCCGTACGTCTTTTTGTCTCTCACTTTTCTTAATTGATTTGCAGTTTTCCAAGACCTGAAAGGGAAATACCTGTGCAGATTTTAAACACTGTACTGTGGAAAATGTGTGATCTTGGAGACAAATCTTTTTCTGGTGAATGACAGAGTTATCCCACTTTTAAAGGCAACATGGCTTCAAAGATTTGTTAAACCTAGGATCCTCTTTCTAGACTTGAGGTTTAAATTGCATAAATTAATTTTAGGAAATTGTGTGACCTGTACTTTTGCTTCAGTAAACCTAGAAATGCTGAACTGGGGATTTGTTTAGATTTGGTGTGGGATTTGTGTGGATTTTCTTTCATCTGTTCTGTAGATAGGAATTTGCTAATCAAAAATAAAAACAAATAGGCTTGTACTTCTCTCCGAATGTGTTTGACATAGGGTTTTTTTTTTCTCTCATCAGGTTTGGTGACTTTGTAGATGTTAGTGAAGGCCCTCATATTCCACGGACAAGTTTCTGTTTCCAGTATGAGATAACGGCAGCCCATAATCTTCAGACTAACCCATCTCAATTGATAAGGAGGTTTCAGGGTGTGTCCCTGCCAATCCATTTGAAGGTAACTAATCCATTTTGTACAGATTTTCCTTCTCTGAGTTAGGGCATTTGGCTTACTTTCCAATCTTTATTATAAGCGGTGCTGGTAGCCAAACGTAATTCAGAGGTGAGAACAGTAGCAGGAAGGAAAGGCCCATGATGATGACGACTATGTTGGATATTTTGGGTTCGTTTTCCTGGAACTATTGTGGATGTGAAATCGGAACTAGAAAAGTTTGTGTCAGAGGGCCCTTGATGTTATTTTTCAGTACTGGAAGTGTTGTTTCGGATGTGCAAGTTCTGCGTGGGTATTTCATTCACCTTGCCTTAGTTAGCTGTGCATGCTAATCTTCTGAAATTGAGGCTGCTGACAGCGTTTATTCAGATTGAGGAAAGAGCAGAACTTTGAATTTATACTCATGATAAAGGATACCATTTCAAAATCTTTCATGACACCAAAGTAAAACTTAACAACAATAACAAAAAAAATCCTAGCACTAATCAGCCTTAAACAAAGGCTTTGCAGAACTATAAGTGGAGGCAGGAGTCTTTCTTCCCATTTCGGTTGACTTATATGATTTTGACCTGTGTTCTAGCACATTGTGCTATTGTGTCAGTTGGGGAAGTTTTCAAGGGCCGAGTGGGCACTGGGTTCCTCACCTCATCTCTCTGTACCCTTCCTCATCATAAGATTTTAATTCCCATTTTTGCCCATTACCCCCTCAATGATTCCACACAATGAGTGGAAATGATCAGCAGACATTTATTCAAGTCCCCCCGAGGAACATGGGCAAATTCGACACTGAAATCATAAGCTGTAACGTCTGAATTAGTGATTGTTATGGTTTTGTGCCATCATTTCTATACACTTGTCAGAATCTGTTCTATGAGAAGGTGGGTTTTGGGGTTTTTTTTGGCCTCCAGTAACATCATTTAATGACATTTAATACAGGCTCACCACACCGTGTGGCACAAACTGCTGGAAAGATCGAAGAGGCTGGTAAGTCTCATTAGCGGTGAAGTACAGCTTACGAAATACAAAAATGCGCTGTGATAGAGTAGAATTTGAATGATAAGAGATGGGTAATATCTTCAAGAACGTATCTTTAGGAATGGAAATGTTCACAGGTGAAGAAAAATCAGATGCACATGAAATCTCTAAGCTGTTGTTAATTTCCACTTTAAACTATATTAGTATTTTTCAAATTCATCTCTAGAATTAATGTTGGTATCACGTGTGTGTAAAATTTAAAATTATTTTTTCCTGTTTTAATCGTGAACATGAAATAAGAAAACTAAAAATTGGAATAATGTATTTACACTTACCTAGATTTTAGGTAGTAACAAGTTTTCTGCCACAGGTTTGAGAGAACATACATGAACGTGTTTCTTACAAGTAAATGCAGGGATTGAAATCTAATACCACTGGGTGAACCTAGGTGGAAGTCGCTGGAGGTAAAAGGGAATGCTATTTCAGTAAGCTGCATAAATGCACTAGTTTGAGTATTTTTTTTGCCTGTTTAAAACCTACATGGAAAATAAAGAGTTTCTTGCAAACATACTTCTGTTAAACAACCAGTGTTTCAAAGTTGAAATGTACTTATCCAAGAGAAGCTTTACAGCGACTGAATAAATGCAAAAGGCAAGTTTTTAAGATAAATGGAACTATAAAATATCATAAGCCGCATATAACCAGAGACTCACTTTCAAGGCATGCTTCAACGTGGGAAATCTTCGTAAGAATTACAGAGCAGATGTTTTGGAGCCTTCAGATCGAATATTTTACTTACTTGTGTGGCAAGAGAGAGAGAAAAAAATTCTGTATGTCTACAGAAACTTGTTAGCCGAGGATGTGCTCAGAGCCTAACCCGTGATATTTTTCTGCGAAACTAGTTTGAAGATGCTTGTAATTCAGGTGGTTTAACTTTGGACACAATAATCGTCTTTGTAGGCTGTCCTTTCTTGTTACAGTGACAGTATGAGGGGAGGATTTCCAGGGTAAAGGAGAATTAAATTATGTTTAAAAATATAACAGAATTGTTATGTTTCTGCAGGTCACTGAAGAAAAATATTTGGAAGCAGCAGCAGAATGTCATGAGGCAAAAGATGGAACTGAAGAAGGAAAAACTGTCAATATAAATTAACCTCTAAATGTACATAATAAAATGTGTATTTTTACATGACTGACTTGTGCTGCATATAAAAATGCCTTGGCTACTTCGTTTGAATTCTGTGGACCTAAGCCACGGATGGATGTAAAGCCAGTATCAGACATTTCAGTCCACCCGAATGTCACTTTAAAAAAAAAAAGGGGGGAGGAAAAAAAGGTAATGTTTTATTTGCGATAACTCATCTTGCACGTTACCCTTGTCCTTGTCTCGACAACAACTGTATGTGTCCGGCTGTTGTCCTCTGATTAGTGCAGTTTGGCCTACAGACTGCAGTTGAACTGGCAGCTGGAAAGGCCATCCCCTTTATCTTGTTGTAATTTCAAGACCCCTTGTTTGGTCATCCATGAAGAAAGTATTTCTTTCTAATTTCCGACCTGATGTGTGTGTTTCTTGCTGGAACTTCCTGATGAAATTCCACTGAGTTCTTTGTCTACTGCAACAGAAAGTTGAGACAAATAGTATCTCTTTAAAAAAAAAAAAAAAAAAAAAAAAAGCCCTTTCAGAAGCCCATAAAGGGTTACAAAAGATTATTATTTTACTCTTTTTGATTTCCTGTCAGAATTGAAATTAGATACTCTGTTGTATTTCCGGTTCAAAAGACTCCATTCAGTGGACAACTGTGTAGTTGCCATTGCTTTACTAATACAAAAAAAAAGCTGAAAAGTCCTTTGAGTTTAATCTTTTCTGCTGTACAAGTGCAGTTAAAGATCATTTTCCAGAATACTACCAGGAATGTAGTCTATTACTTGCATCCCCAGCATAGTAAGATTTATTATGCTTTTTCATTCTTTGATATTTAAATATTGTGACTTCAATTAAATTTCACAAGGGGTTTTTGTTAGATGATGTTTTCTGACATTTTGTATTTTCATCCCTAGCTCATTAGAGCTGTTCTCATTATACCAGAAGAGATTTTTATTACTATTTGAAGTGCAAATATTTCCTCTGAATTTGAGCCCAATTACTATTTTTACCATTAACTGCATCACTTGCTTTCTAATCAATTGATGCTATAGTTTTGTAAGAGCAGGGTAGTGGTTCAGTAAAACACATTTAGGTAAGGAAATCTCACCCAGCTTAATTGAACTAAATAATAAGTAAGTAAATGCTGAACGTGTCAGAGCACAGAGGAAGAAATGCAAGCTGTAAAAGTTGCTTTTGGTGAAATAGGCAGATTTCTGCCTAAGTTATGTGTTAAAATGTTTGCTCCTATGCATTTCTGTGCTTAGTGCAATCTTTATCTATTCAAATTTACTGGCATACAATGACATTTGAAATCCGTCAATATGCGAACAGGCTATGACCTCTGGTTTAGTTTCCTGTTAAATACAACACATCTTTAAAGTGTAGCCCGTGCCTTCTCAGACTACTTGAAAACTGATTTTTTTTTCCTCTTGATTAGTGTTGCAGACGACTTTTTCTAATGGTATCAGATGCTTATTTTTTTAAATAAGATTCTTGGTTCAAGGTTTACCTTAAACACACACACACACACACACAAACACACACACACGTTGTATATGTTTTCTGAAGACTATAAATGATCTTTGCACTGAACTTCAAATATTTGTGTTTCTTTTAAACCTAACCTTCCGAAGTTTACTTTGGCTTTGGACCTGTTGCTCTGGTGCCACTGAAAAAGCAGGCATTGGCTCCTGTCTTGAGGAACGCAAAATTTGCTGGGTTTTTTGGAGGTACCTTGGTTAACCCAAGACCACAGTGAAATCATGCAAGTGGGAACTGATCTAGGTGCACCAACCCTGATGCAACCCTGAGCAGCCTCCCGACGTCTGCTCTGTATGTTGGGAATCCAGTTCAGAATTCCTCCTGGATTCCACCACTTGCAGAGGAAGGTGGGAATGCTGCTTCCCCTTAGGAAATTTTTTAACTTTAACAGGAATTTCATGTTTCAAAGCTTTTTTTTGGGGGGGTGGGGTGGGTGGGGCATAATCCGGCTTTTATAGCTCTCAGCATCAGAAACGAATTGAAAGGCATATAACTGGGCTGAAAAATCTGGAGAGGGAATTTCCCTTTCCTGACCTTTACTGGGTCTATGAGAAGCGGGTGCGGGACTGGCAGGGGAATTTACAGCAGGGCCTGGGGAACCTGCAGAGCTCCTACCGCTAGGTGGGAGCAGTGGCTTGGGGAGGAGAGGTGCTGCCTTACCGGCGGCAGAGGAGCAAGAGAGTTGCCCTGCGGGGACCCGGGTGAATCCCCATGGAAGGGGCTTTTGCAAGTGCAGAACTACGTTACCGAAAATGCTGTTGAGGGCTGCCAGCTGAAGTTTACACGGGATTAAACTTCCCTGCCTTCCCCGGAGGTCTATGTGTAAAAAGGTGGAAGCTCAAACTTCTGCAGACTTCATACTAGCTCACATCTCGGTTTACGTGGGCTCCAGAAGGCAGGTCTTCTTTTGGGAGAGATGGAGCTGGAGGACCAGATTCTCACAGAAGACAGTAGCAGTTAAAAGAGAATCAGGTAATAGAAGGAAGCGTCCACTTCTTTCTTACCAGCAGTATGGTGGTGACAGCACTTTCCAAAGAAGTAGGAGATGTAGATTCAATTTCCTATTCTGCCACAGAGGGATTCAGAGACACGCTTGCAGGGGGAAACATCTTCGGGGGATGGATCATAAGGTACTCTGAGTAATCCCTACCCAATCTGTACAAAATGATGCCACTACTAGGAAAAAAATCCTGAACGTTTCTTGGACGAGCATGAGAACAAATGGAAACAGTGCTCAGAGCTCATGGCAGCCACAGAGCAACAAGGAGATCTGGTCCTTGAGCTCAGGACCATTTCTGTATTTCATCTCCATTGGAAGTAGCCAAAAGAGACCACTGTAGGTCAGTTCGAAAAGAGACGGGAAAGTAGATACTGTAATTTTTCTGTACTGAATGCTACAGATCCCAGAGATTACGGGGATTAGGGGAGGGTAGATGGACGAAAGAGACTACAAGGTTAAGCGAAGTCTCCTCCTTGGCTATTTCTCCTTTTTATTAAATTACTCTTCGGGTTTAAAGAGGCAGTTTTTACTGTATCCATCCAGCAAAAGAAATGCAGAGCCAGTTAAAGGTAAGGAAGAATCTAGGAAGACACTATACTGCAAAACACAGATGATGGACAAAGGGGAGGGCGGGGTGATTTAGGCCAACAAACGTGAGCAGAAGACGACACTGGCCAGATTTTGATAAGGAATAAATAAGGAAGAAATTTTTTTATGATGGAGGTGGTAAGACACTGGAACAGGTTGCTCAGAGAAGTTGTGGATACCCCAACCCTGGAATTGTTCAAAGGCAGGTTGGACAGGACTTTGAGCAACCTCATCTAGTGGAAGATGTCTCTGCCCAAGGCATGGGCGGTGGACTAGATGATCTTTAAATGTCCCTTCCAACCCAAACCATCCTATGATTCTATGATTACAGGGGAAAAGGCAGGAACTGAAGCCTTCTTCCTTATTGCACAACTGTGCTGGTTTTGGCTGGGATAGAGTTAATTTTCTTCATGGTAGCTCGTATGGGGCTGTGTTTTGGATTTGTGCTGGAAACAGTGTTGATAACAGAGGGATGTTTTCGTTACTGCTGAGCAGGGCTTACACAGAGTCAAGGCCTTTTCTGCTTCTCACACCACCCCACCAGCGAGTAGGGTGGGGGTGCACAAGAAGCTGGGAGGGGACACAGCTGGGACAGCTGACCCCAGCTGACCAGAGGGATATCCCATGCCATATGACATCATGTTCAGCAATAAAAGCTGGGGGAAGAAGAAGGAAGGGGGGGGATGTTCAGAGTTATGAGGCGTTTGTCTTCCCAAGTCACCGTTACACGTGATGGAGCCCTGCTTTCCTGGAGATGGCTGAACACCTGCCTGCCCATGGGAAGGAGTGAATGAATTCCTGGTTTTGCTTTGCTTGTGTGTGCAGCTTTTGCTTTACGTATTAAACTGTCTTTATCTCAACCCATGAGTTTTCTCACTTTTACCCTTCCAATTCTCTCCCCCATCCCACCGGGGGGGGAGTGAGTGAGCAGCTGTGCGGTGCTTAGTTGCCGGCTGGGGATAAACCATGACAACATCTCAGTAGTAGCTCCGTGGCTTCTTGGATTCAAGTTGCTCCTCCTTCTACCTCTTGTTTGAAAGAGAGTTGAAACTTTTCCAAATTGCAGAAATTTTGCTCTGAGCTTAGGACTCTTGAGCCTTCCCTTTTATTTATTGGTTTTAACCAAAAAGGAAAGTCCGTACCAAGGTTAAAGCTACATGGTGTCTTGATCCTAACAGGTGGCAGTAGGAAGGTTGAGCTGAGTCAGTTCCAGCTTTATATACACGTTATCTGATCAAGTGAGATATTTTTTCCAAAGAAATATTCTGTAATCCATGGTATCATGGATTTTGGAGATAGAAAAGGCAATTATGATCTAGTCTGACTTCCTTCATAACAGAAGGAATTAAATGTCAAGAGAGAGTTATTTTTTTCTTACCAAGGAAGTGAAACTCTTCCCTGGGAAATTGAACACATGCAAGTGATGAAAACGCTCAGTCATCAGTAGATGTCGAGTCCTTTTATGACAGCAGCCAAAATGAGCTTCCCTTTCTATTTTAACCTCTGGCAAGAAGTAATCTCTCACTGCTGTTTGGTAACTTACCTAATGCTGTGCCACTCAGCTTATCACAATACTTTGTTATATTTGAAGCCAGTGAACTTGCTAGTGCAGCTACATTTATTTTATTAGTTTTTTAAGGAATCCAGACACAGGAACTCAATATCATAGAGGCGTTCGATGGGAAGAGCTGGCAGTGGATATTTCTTGAAGAACACCAACCATCTGAAAATGGTAATGCTATCATGCTGTGGTCTTTCACAGGATTTAACCCCAGTCATGGACAGCATTAACATTTCTTCAGAGTAAAAAGAAAACCTATTTTGTTAATATCTGCTGTTATAATATCTACAACTTAATATGCCTGCTTTTCTGGGGAATCAGCTATGCAGGAAAATATACATATAAATGGTCTAATGACCATATTTATATC